TTGAAATTATACAGCAATATTAAATGCATTAAAAGAACTAAATCAACAGCATCACTTACAACAGAAAGGATAAACCTCATCTGAAAAACAGTTCCCTTGTTATCTGACATCAATTAGTGACACATAAACATTGAAAAACAAAACTATCAAAAATATTTAAGAAATATTAACTACACTCAGCAAGACAATATTAGTCACTGAAAAAATAGTATCACTAAATGAAGAAGTTATTGACTCCACCAATACGGTAAACATGCATGTAACCTCACACATAGGTTCGCATCCGTACATTTTCTTAAGGCACAAACAAGCCCTTCACAACCTTGGAGAATGTTCCTCTAAGTACCCACTAGACTCCTGGTCTCAGTATGTGACCATTCATTCACTCAGTTAGCATCACTTACACCTCAGTACATCCATGAAACGGAAGGGAGTGGGCCAATCAGACCTTGTTCAGTTGAGGGGAGCTCTATTTTCCCGTTAGTAAAAGGTTTTCACTAAACCGCCTGTATATGTGGTAATTGTGAGCCGAGGTAGAGGAGATCTGGTGACTCCAAACGATCGTCAAAAGGGACAGACGATGGTCCCACGTCGTTAGTTGTACATCCAGACAGCTGGTTTCACTCCAACCCTCACTGCTCACTCGACCTCGTGGGCTCAACTCAGATGAGTGGACACGTTCAGATCTTGTGGACGTTCAGACGGCGTGGGCTCTCTAGAATCCCTGCAATATACCTTCTGTTAGCTATTGTTTCACATCACGTCACTCACTCATTGTTTGTTCCTACCACCCTATCTAGCTCTGTCTGAGATTGAATAAAACTCACTTGTTAATACTGATGTTAAATGAACGAAGGAAACCAGTTCATGTGATCGTCTCTCCTGGCCAATGCAGGATTCCTGTCTGTGACCACTGCCTCCGACTCCCAGACAAACGTGCTTCCTTAGGCGTTCTTTGCCCGAGTGACTTATTTACCACAAATAACGTTTTTAGATGCAACATTTTCAAACTGGGAAATGATCTACAATCATTTTCAATTTAATAACTGTCATTTAATTTCATAATTCACGTCCAAATTAAGTCGCCAGAGTATAATTAATATTATATGGGCGTAGTTCATGGAGCTCTCACTATTTGTGTGCTGTCCTCCCTCCTTTGACCTTGAATGACTCAGCATCGCCATTATTGGTAATTGCGTCTGTAGATATTACACTGAAATTTCTGAATATTACAAATCAGCATCCACATACTGGCGACTAATGTGTGAACCGAGAAAATCACTCATGACTCGTCAGGGGGCGGCTATTCCGCTTATTCTTATAAATTTACTTCTGGGTTCATGAGTTGTGCGAGCTTTTCTCCACCATACCCATAACCGTGCTCAAGAACACTGGCCCATAATACACCATTACCATCAAGTTGTACTGCATGCATAGCGCCAAACAATTCTTTAAAAGGCGCTCCCACGTCCAGAGTGTAAGATCAACCATCAGGGTTGTCGACCTCACACCAGGACTTGGTTAGACAAACCACATACACCCATAATTGAAGAGAGATCACCTAGTAGAAGAATCAGCTCCTATACTCGGTGGGCATACAGTATTCACTAGCACCATGGGAATTTTTGTCTCCCAGAGTTAAACCTCTCACTCCATTCATCCTGCACGGAATGACTCTCCCAGTTACTTTATAGGAGGGGGAGAGCGACAGAGTTAATCCTGCCCAGTTAGATCAGGTCACTGTACAACCAGGTGTACTTCCGCCACAGCTAGAAGAGAAATCTAGTTTTCCCTCCTTCAAAGCAATTTGCCTTAGCTGTGGGGTTGTGTAGTGTCGGCTTGGTGCCAGTCCGAATGGGGTTTCTATTCGCATGTGTTGCATGCATCTGTCTATCCTGGCAGATCTGGGTGAAAACCAGGTCGACCATGTGGAGCCTATCATCAGACGCCTCCCACTTCCACCACTACGCTAATAGCACTTCCGCTCGAGTGGGACCTTCACTCCTGAAATTGGAGTTTTATTTACTACTGCTAAATTCTTCTCCTCCCTATCTAAACAATGTCTGCAATCGAACTGGACTTACGTGTGAACACAGTTAAAAGCACCTACAAGATTTTGAGGCCACGTGAACGTTTTGTCGACGAGCAGGTCGCGATCTGTCCGCTTGCCATGAGTGAAAAGCTACGAGTGACCAGCGCCCATCTCTCGCAAGTATGCCTATCCGTCTAAGGGACTACAATTTTAAATCTTAAACTATCCCCTGGTTATCCTCTATTTATTTTTTAGGAAAGATTCGCACTATTTTAACATTTCTTTACGTTATTTAATTCCGGACACGACTTACCTGTACTACTTTTCGGTAACCATGTTATTAATTCGTGACCGTATGACGCCATTCACTTTCGTAATCTAATTATTCCCTAAGTACACACGTAACAAATTCTGAAATGAAACAAGATAACTTTCGTTAATTTTATAGCTGACTTTTAACTTCGTCAATAGTGTATGCATTAATTTGATGAAGTGCATTTAATTTTATAGGCCTATGTGAGACGTGGAAGTTAGTTCCTGACTCCTCCGCTTGGCTTCTTGGGGTTCCTGCGCAAAGGATTTGTTTAAGCCTGACATGCGGTAGGAGTGCAAATGCTACCTAATTATGGTTCCCTGTTCGTCAGATCATTAATTTTCGTTCTAAAATTTCAGAATATCACACACACACACACACACACACACACACATATATATATATATATATATATATATATATATATATATATATATATATATATATATATATATATATATATATATATATATATATATATATATATATATATATATATATATATATATATATATATATATATATATATATATATATATATATATATATATATATATATATATATATATGGAATCACTGTAGGTGCGCGTGATGTATACTGATAACCACAAGAAAGAAGAAAACATTTAAGCGCTTTCGTGTAATTCACATCTTCAGGGTGAGTACAGATAAGATTGAAGATGCAAGATACAAGCATGAGACTTGTGTTTTATGTAGTTATCAATAATCTATCAGACCATATATTCTACCCAGTAAATTCCGACCGGTTACATATATACTCTGTATGTTTCGCCATGCTGATTTCGACTACACGCACGTCTATACTTAACCAGTTCTAACCATCTATGTGTTTTGAAAAACGAGTGCCCCCTTCCTGGGGCGCGAACTCAGCTTCCAGCCAGCCAGCACAGTTAGACCTATAAAATCTCACTCACAGGCCATTGTTCATGCCTCAAGCTTCTCAGGTACTCCTGGTTAGCTGGAAATTGCCGTGCAGGCGTTATGGCGAGTGAACTTTGTCTAAGCTGAATTTTCATGCATTTCCTCTAAAACATGACAATTTACTCCAAAAAGACAATACATTGTTACAACTCCCCATGGTTGCTTTTATGAAAATTTGTGAGATGCTAACAAATATTTCGCAAATTTTTATTCGTAATCCTAGCTAGGAATATCTAAACTTAATTAGCATATTTAATTGACAATACAAATCGTGTTTTTCAATATTTGCACATCAAACTGTAATTTGCAAGATATCACTTAACTCACAAAAAGGCATGTAACTAAATTTGAAATAATGACACAGGTTGACACAAATGCAAATGCAAAGAAAATAATTTCTAGTAAATGTCAAACTATGAATCACACAAAATCATGAGAACTAATATCATGGGTAAATTCAATAAAAATCATAAATAATGGTAAATCAAAATACTGTAAAAAATTAATTAAATTTGGTATTAACTCAAAACAAAAATCTAGATCAATTAGGTATGATGTTAATGAAAATTATTCATAATAAAGTCACTCAAATAATAAACAAAAGGATTAATTATTTGCCATGCACAAATGAATGCATATAGAAGATGGATTTTTTCTATTTCTCTCTCTCTGTTTTTTATATAAAAAATCATCTTCATTATATCTTGAACATCAATTGTAAAATATTTTTAGTCAATTTACCGAACTTCTCAAAACAGATTTTCTGCACTTCTTATCTTAATAACTTAAAATGCTGGTTTTCATTCACTTTAGATGAGTTCACATGTTTTGTACTTTACATACTCTGGTATATGGATCTTACCTCACACACACACACACACACACACACTATACATCTTATTTTCTGTTGTTCAGCTGGTCTCTCATCTCCCAATTGATGGTGGTATATCTGGCAGCAGGCAAAGATACAGCGTTAACATTTGCAGATGGCAGATCGCCCACAGACACTAACACTTTTCACTAACTTTCGGCTTCCATCAACTGTGAATGAACAAATCGTTTCTTGAAATATGGAATTTCATGACATATCCATAATGTACTAACTGCCTAAAGTTACTCGTATTGGCTATATCGATTGTACCTCCTCCCTGGTAACTGATTTCAGCGGCATAGCCTCACTCCACAATGGCCGTGGCTTATTGGCCGGATTTCAGTACTCGTAACGGGAACGGGAGCTTTTCCAAAAGTGGGGGGAACCAGCTAGTAAATTTTCTACCCCGGAAATGTCCATCACAAGGGACATAGGATCCTCCTTTCAACAACTCCACAAGAATCTTCTTCTCCGATTCAAATCAGGACACACAGGATCGATTGTATCCATAGTGACCGCAATCTAATTTTAGGTTGCACCATTGCACGCTTCCCTCACTCCATCAGGGTCGGCATGACACGTCTACATTGGGAGGAGCCTATGGGGAAAAACCTTAATGGACAGGATATGTCATTACTCTGGGACACTAACTTCTCACTTTTCTCCTCCTCCTCCTTGCTTCTAGCAGCTGACACTCTAAGTGGTCTGGACGTTGCAAACGCTGACTGTAGCTAACAAGTTGACTTCGGACTAACACACTTAAGGTCAGCCTTCCTACCCAACCAATTGAAGCAAGGCCCCTGTGTCAAAAAGAGGCACCAAGTCGGCTCCATCGTCCCTAGATGTTTGCTTCTTACCCGATGTCTGTGGTACCAGCAATCCACCAGATGGTGTCGTCGGGCTGGTGGCCTGGCTGGAACAATGAAGACAGGATCCCAGTTTGGGACATCTCTGCGTCTGGCTTAGTGAAGTTGAAGAAAGGGCATGCTGGCAGCGACACTACATCATTCTCTCTGTTGGGTCCAGAGCGCATCACAGGAATGAGCCGGTAGAGCTGCATTGTTGTCATCATCCTGGACAGGCTTTTGTACTGAATGTCATGGTCGTCTGGTCTCCCTCTAGTCACTAGAGGGAGGAAGGAAGATTACCTCCAATATGGATTTTCCTACATTTTGAAGGATGGCACAGAACTACCCCAATGAGTAATATGCCACAAAGTGATAGGAAATGATTCCATGAAACCATTTCAGGAAAAGCAGCATCCTGAAAAGCTTCACCTAGGGTTAGCTCAAAAGGATCGCACATTTTTTAAGCAGATATCCGATGGTTTGAAGAGATTGAGGCTGGATGGCAGTGGATCCATCCAACAGACTTCAAAGGCTACCACACATGCGTCATATATAATTGATCTGCATGTAGTCAAGAATAAGAAGGTACATACAATTGGGGAAACCGTGATCAAGCCATGTATCCTTGATAGTGCAAAACTTGTCCTCAACGATGATGCAGTTAACAAACTGAAGCAAATCCCGCTGTCTAATAACACTATCAAGTCACGAATAGATGATATGGCTCACAACATTAAAGATCAAGTGATAGCCGAGATAAAGTCATCAAAGTTCTTTTGCCATTCAATTAGATGAGACCACTGACTTGGAAAATCTTTCTTAGCTTCTCGTTTTTGCCTGATATGTTGATGGTCAAGACATCAAAGAGGACTTCCTGTTTTGTCGTCCATTGATCACGACAACAAAAGGAGAGGATGTGTTGGAACTAATTTCAACTTTCTTTAATAAAGAAGGACTACTATGGGAGGATGTAATCGGAGCGTGTACAGATGGTGCCCAGCAATGTGAGGGTCTCGATCTGGATTCTTGACACTTGACAAACGTAAGAACCCTACAGTGGTTTGGATACACTGCATAATTCCTGAAGAATCTCTCGCTTCAAAGACATTACTAGCAGCCCTGCATGCTCACTTAGAGACCATCATCAAAACGGTCAACATCATCAAAGGGTCAGCCCTGAACACGCACCTTTTCCATGAACTGTGTGAAAACATGGATGCTGAACACCAAGCTCTGTTGTTCCACACCCAAGTCCGCTGCCTGTCAAAGGGCAACATGCTCACTCTGTTCTATGAGCTTAGTGAAGAAGTGAAGACTTTCCTGGCCAATCACAATAAAGACGAGCTACTCACCAAGATGAACATTCCAGAATTTTAGGCTCATTTGGCGTACTTGGCAAACATCTTCGAAGCTCTAAATGAGCTCAACCGGAAACTGTAGGTTGTCAGAGCAACATCATGCACCATACAAACAATATCAAAGCATTCATTGGAAAACGGATTCAAGACGGAAATGTGACCCAATTCCACCGACATTCTGAAGTCATCCGAGAAGATTTCATCAACCAAGTGCTCAAGGTAGAGATCATAGAGCACCTTAACTCCCTCATTGATGAGTTCCAGCGGTACTTCCAAGACATAAATGCCATTCAAATTACCATGGCTCTGATGAGGATCCATTCAAATGTCATGTAGATGTCGTCCCTACAGAGCTTCAGGAAGAGTTTTTGGAACTCAAACACAACTCCTCAGCGAAAGATGAATTCAACTTCCTAAGTCTAAGTGAGATCTGGGTGAAAATGTACCCCATTTATCCTGGATTTGGCAATAGCGCTCTTCGTGCACTGATCCCATTTTCTTCAACATATCTGTGTGAGTCGAGCTTTTCTTCCCTTCTGTCAATAAAGTCAAAGACTCGAAAAAGCTCCAGGTTGAGTGTGATCTAAGGTATGCTCTGTCAGCAACAGCCCAACAAATAGCAGAGTCACTAGCAAGAAAACAGGTGCAGGGATCACACTGAGGTGTGTAGAGACATAGCCAGTGTAGAGATGGTGCTGACATAAAGTTCATAACAGTGTTGCAGTGGGAGTATTTTGTTTGAAACGGAACTGTCAAATGCTTTCATTTATTTCTGAATTATTTTTCCGAGTCAATATTTCTTTCATATATGCTATCTCTGAGTGTTATTAGTCACTAATAAAATCATTATTGGCGAAATTTGTTTTAATTTAACCTTGTGTAAATAAATGAAAACACCATGGTTAATATGAAGTTGGAGTGGGGGCGGGAGGAATCATTATAGGTTTTCTGGCAAAAGTGGGGAATGACCTGGAAAGTTGGGAATCCCTGCTCTAATGTTTGAGTGACAGAGGTATGACTCAAGTGGGGAAGTCTAGTGACATGGACGTCACACCCACTAGCAGGATTTTGCAAGACTTGCAAATACTGGGTTTAAATTGGCTGGAAGTGAGATCAGTATGAGACATCGCGAGGTCATTAGGCCGGAAGCGGTGTACACACCCTTTGAATTACAGTTACCCATAATCCTCAGGTATTTCAAGTAAATCCCAACTCAACCATATATTGTGAGACAATGTGACATCCAGCAAGGGGGGTCTAATTCTTCCTTAATCTGAATGTCTAGAAGTGAATACCATTTACTTTAACATTATTACATCTCCAAATGCCTTCATGATATTATGCAATACAGTGTCTGTCTCGTTAATCCGAACGTAATCCACGCAGAATATTAAGAGAGAAAGCTATAGGTGGTTATGTCATGGAACAGGTGTCATTACTTTCAAATCTACATATTTCAGAGTAATAGCAGTGGCCAGGTCACTAGATAAGGCCTTTACATAAATCCGTCTCTATATGTCAACTACCCTAACCTCTAATAACTAAATATGAACAGAAAAGCAAGAGAAGGCAGGGTGAGAGGCAGGGGTGTGCAGCAGGGGAAGGGACATGGGGTAGGGGGAGTTTAGTTGGCCGCGAATGAGGGGGGGAAGAGGAGGTGTGAACGGTTGGGGAAGCGATGCAGGGTTAGGGTGAGGAGTTGGTGCAGTGGGGTTCTGGTGAGCGCAGGTGGGCTGGGCACTTGAGATTGCCTGAGGTGAGGGATGGCGAGGCGAGATGGGGTAGGGCAGGGTAAGGGCGGTTGGAAAGAGGGTTTTTTTTGTAGAGAAAAGAGGGGTGAAAGAAGATTAGTGGTGGGTGGGGGAAGAAGTTATAGTTCGGAAATTGAAGAAATCTAGGAGGAGGTAAGAGAGGGAGGGCTGACCGCCTAGCGAAGCTAATAGTGTGTTAGGGTTGTGTCCTGAGTTTGTTATTGTCTGTCGGTACAGGCACTAGACATCCTACCTTGTCCCATATATGGGTGTTTTAAGGGCCTTATTTCATATTCCGCCGGCCCTATTGGCGGATGTTGGTCTCGGGAGGTTGTCTAATGCCTGGCTGTGTAGATCGGGGGTGGTAACGGACTTTTTGAGATTTGGTAACTTTTTGGGAACCATGTATGGTTGTTGTCGTTATCTGGTGGGAGACTTTGAAGTTCTTGCTCTGATCGTTCTATCTTTTGCCAGATTCTGCTGGCCAGGATGTGCAGCTGCTGGTTGATGGGTTTTATTCTCAGGTCTCTATGTATCTCGGCTGTGGTTCGGGTGAAGAGGTATCTTTCACCTGTGACGAATCTTAGGGCTTCATTTTGGACCACCTGTAATTTTAATATTTGAGTGGTGCTCATAATATGAAGAGGTACTGCTGGGTAAGTTAATATCAGTGTGATAAATGATGTCACCAGGCGGAGTTTTATTTTCTCAGGAAGCGCTTTAAAGCGGTATAGTTTTCTCAGCTCTCTTCTTGCCTTTTCCTTCCTGATGTGGACATGATGGGAGTAACCTGTCGTGGATATATGCAGGCCCAGGAGGGTGCCTCTGCTTTTGTATTCTATCTGGGCATTATTGGTTACTAATGGATGGGTTTTCCTTCTGCATAAGGGTATCACTGTGAATTTCGGGAGACTGGTTTGGATTTTCCATTGTTTTTCGTAATTATTTACCATTTCTAATTCCCGCCTGGTGTTGTCGACCTGTAGCGCTCGCGATTTTCCTTGATGTGTTGATATTTGAGTGATGTCATCTGCATACATAATATCTTAGTTACCTATTTTAGTGGGAGGCGGAGTGTCACTTGTGTAGATAATATATAGGGTGGGGGAGAGGTATTTCCGCCGTCAAGAAAGTTGCAAAGCACCTTTTCAATGTTGGTGGGAAGTCCGAGTTGGAGGATCTTATATTTTAGACCACCATGCTAGACTTTGTCAAATGCCTTCGCTACATCCCGGAGAGTTAGATTACATTGTCTACCACTCGCCGCGGCTCTGGCTATGTTTTCACATGCCAGGGCTATCGCTGTTGTGGTGGACTTCCCTTTCCTGAACCCGAATTGTCTGCAGTTGACTCTGTTTGTTGTTTCCAGGTGAATTCTCAGACAGTTATTGATGATTTTTTCTAGGGTTTTTCCAGGTACTTCGAGGAGGGAGATCGGTCTGTAGTTTAGTGGGTGCAAAGGACTGGGAATTAGGGATAGAAATCCCTTACCAGGCTTATCAGGTTCTTAATTAAGGAAAATCAAGGACCATGGTTTTCTGATGAATAACAAACAACCGTTCGAGATTGACATCTCTTTACTATAAAGAATATAACACAAAACTCTGACACCACTCAACAAACATCAAATAATTACGGGAGTCAAACAATTAATGCAGTCAATAGTTAATGGAGTTAATCAATTAAGGGAAGCAAACAATTAAAGGAATCAAACAAATAATGGGAGTCAGCAATTAATGGATTCAAACAATTAAATGGAGTCAACAATTGATAGAATCGAACAAAAAGGGAGTCAGCAATTAATGGAATCAAACAACCATAGAATCAAACAATGAACAGATATTTCCTAAGGCAGTGGCCCTGGGGGAAGGTTCTGAACAAGGTGATCCACACTCAGGGTAGGGAAGCGTCCATTCAACTCCACACTCGAGCAACGTCTTGAAATGGCAGGAGAACACCGGGGCACAGACGGAATGAGATGAACTGACGGTCGTGGTATGTGGTAGTGGTAGATGTCCAGAGAATTGACAGTCGATAGGTGAAGGTCTGGAGACACAGCCCATGAGTCCAGGACCTATGATGATATCACAGCCAG